ATCAGTAGATCCAGGTAGTAGCCTCTCGGTTTAGGAGCTTTTGGCACGGGACTCACATGCTCGTTGTATGTACAAGCTAGGGCCTCGTGTTTTCGATAAGGAGGCAGATCGATGTGTTACCAAAACCATGACTCAGCTTTTGTTTTTTTGAAAAGCTTTGAAGAAGAATTTGCCTCATATAATTTTTGTGTAAATTACCTTTATGTATAAAACCTTTAAATTAATTATAAATGAACTTAGCTTAGTTTATCTTATAACTTTGAATATTTTAGCATTTTCCAATATATATATGATATTCTTTTATAAAATTGATTTTCTGAATACAAGTTCTCTTTTGAGGAAATATTTTATATCATAAGTGTTTTTACTTCCGTTGCAATTCTTTACTATAAATTTTGTTTTCGAACTCTTCTAGGACTAAGAGTGCCTAGAGAGGTGTGTTATAGGGTGCTTCTTAAGGAAGATAAGGTTAGAAAAAGTCTTCGCTCCTTGCCAAAATCCTGGAGTTTAATCAAGATGACAATAGAAGAAGCTCATGATTTAAGTGCCATGACTGTTGAGATGCTGCAAGGGAAGCTTCTTACACATGAAATGGCCATGAAAAATGATGAGAGTGATGATGATTCTCGGAAGAAGAAATTGTAGCTTTCAAAAGCTCCTCCAAAGATGAAAGTGATAGTGATGAAGAGGATGATGAAGAATTTATAGTGCTTGCTCGAAAGTTTAAGAGTTTCTTGAGGAAAGACAAGTTGAAGAATCAAGGACAACAAAAGAAAAATTACAAAAGCAGTAAAGGAAAGGGAGAAAAAAGTAAAAAGGATGAAATTATCTACTACAAATGCAAGAAGGCTGGACATATTAAATCTAAGTGTCCAAACAATGATGAAAAAAGTCTAAAAGCCAAAAAGAAAAAGAAGGCAATGGTTGCCACATGGAGCTGCAATGAGGACTCATCTTCTAGTAAAGAAGTAAGTGACATGGAAGCTCATATTTGTCTCATGGCAAATGATGACACAAATGAGGTAAATTCCATTTCTTCTTCTATTTTTTTATCATGTTAGTGATGATGAAATGCCATATGAAGATTTGAAAGATGCATTTACTGAACGAGCATAATAAACAAATTAGTGCAAAAAATGCATCTTTAAAAAGGGAAATTTTGTCACTTAGAAAAAAAAAACAGCGATTTGAAAGAATCTTTAAATCAGGAAATGATAATTAATCGAAATATGGAAATTGACTTGGAAGAGTCAACAATTGCATTTAGAAATTACAAACAAATGTTGATTGAAGAGCATGATACGCTAGTAGATGAATTAAAAGGAAAATAAGCCATCTTGAATGTTCTCTGAACAATTTTGTGAAAGGCAAAGGTAAGTTAGATAACAATTTAAGTTCACAAAGATTTCCTCATAATAGAGCTGGACCTTCTTTTGAATTATCTAAGTCTTCCTCATCTAAATCTATTGTTTTTATGAATTGTAATACTTTGCATTCTTATGACATAGTAGAAGCATCAAGTTCTAGAGATAATCATGTTCATTATGGTATCATTTGTCATTATTGTTTAAAAAGGGGA